GTTAATTTAGAAAATAGTCCCAAATATCTATTATTTGTGCTCCCTGAGTGCCAAACTGGTCACTTCACTTAAACATGATGCTGCAGAATAGTAGTCAGAAGAACAAGAAGAATAGGTAAGAGTATAAAAAATGTAAAATGGTTAAATCAAAAGGAAGCAATAAAAAATATAAAACACAGAACACTTTATAGGTTTCTATTGCTTTTGCCTCTTAACACTAGGTGAGAATACTTAATTAAAGCCCAGCCTATTAAGAGTTCCCCAAGGAAGTATTTTTCCACAAGGAAGTATTTTTCCACAGAATAAATAATTAGACTGTATGGTCTATATGGTCTATAGCATCACTAAACCCAAAAAATATGCAACAATTTATGATATTAGACATTTTTGCAAGCATACCCAGAATCCTAGTAATTAGTGTTATTGGCTGGAATAGAAAGTGCCATTTCCAGCCAACTTCTAATTACTAAGAATTGCAGTAGGCTTTCCAGGACAGCAGATCTGCCTACGGCAGCTTCCTCCCTCTCAAGATGACCACTTTCAGAAGATGCATATTCAACAAAAAATACTTGATTCAGCACCTGATTCAGAAAGCTGTAAGCAGAGTTCTGTAGTTTAGGTGCCCTGGATGACAAAGCTCCTGTCATAGCTAAAGGAGTTGGTTAATAATCAGCAGAGTCTATACTGAACTGAGCAATTACAGGAATCTACCTTAAAGAGCTATTTTATCATAGATACATAATTTAGGGGTCTATAAACCCATGGTTGCATCCCACCCTGAAGTTAGGGCAAGCTGAATCCCCATCCTGAGTATCATCTAGCATGTTAATTTTTGTATTCCTAGAAAGTACATTCCAGAAGAAGAGCGAAATCATTTCCTTGGTACTCTCAGATTCAATTTGATAACAGCATTAATATAGCCAGAATTTCACTTTTCTGAAAATAAATATAGTAAGAAATTGATTGTCCATGGCTCTGTGTAATTTTTAGATGCACACTACAAGTTGGTCTAACCCACATCAAATGCCTAAAACCAGCTATATGAAGTAATGCTTCAAAGCTAGTATTTCTACCCTAAAATTGTTTACATTATTTATATCACATTTACCAGTAAAAAAAAAACAGAAATTAATTAAATGCTTCAAACATCAGTTTGGAAGGATTAAATACAGGTGCTGCCACACAGTGCCTGAGCATTTGACATGATACTCTAAAATAGATTAATAATAACCCAGGGCATTTTATACATCCATGTGTCTTAACACCTGCAAGGCAGCATGGTTAACACCACAGATTTATTGTGTGCATCCACTCTTTGTTATCAAAAGCAAGGTAGTGGTAGAAACCTAAGCCAAAAGTTAACCTGTTAAAATCTCCTTTTAAATTGCAATTCATAATCACCTTTTTCTGACCCAAGGACCTTCAGTTATCGAATATGCCTGTTCAAGAATAATTTTTAAATCACAATTTAAAATCCTCTCTAATACCTAGTAGAACAAAAGCACATCACCAATCCTCCAGATGCCCATGCTTGCACGCTAAAGATCACTATTCAGCTTCATTTAAACTCAAGTCTTGTTTTGAGAACAATAAAGAGATTATTTCTAATTGCACTTGAGATTTCAACATGCCATCTTCCATCTCTACAAACTAAGGAACATAAGGAACTACAGCTCTCAGTAGAATTGGTCACTGCCCCATATGCTTGTGTGCAGTAACGATAGGAGACTGATTCTTCCCCAAAGTGTCCCCAACAATGTAACATGCTGTGCAACTACATTCCTCTGGTTGTGCCAAGACAACAAAAAACAACCCTCTGAGGCAGAAGCAAAGCGCTATGAAAAAACATTCAGCAGAGAGCCCAACACCATTATGAGGATCAGTGCCCCCCCCATGCTGCTGAACTGCAGGGATAGGGTGAGCAAAAGCCCCTGCAGGCTCCTGACGTGGCTGGTGGGGAGGATGGTGCACATCTTCCATGGCTGAATTGGCTTCTTGAACTTCTCTCTCTTCATGCAGACTTAGGAGACCGGTACCTAACATGTGAGTAGGAAGAATATGGCCTCGAAAGGGTCTTATATAAAGACTCTGAAGGGAGACCTTTTCCTCTGTTATTTTTATCTCTGTCTCTAGACAAGAATGCTCAGAACTGCAAAATTCCTACAATCTATTACAAGGCACACTAGTGAAAGCTTGTGCACTAGGAACTACTTGCTAGAAATGAGTTGGTTGTTCACTGAAAAGTAATATCGTTAGCAATAAAGGAAAAAACTGAAACAGACGAGCTGGTTTACATTTAGCAGCTTCTCATTTTAATTAGCAGATACTTATTTATCCCTTTACCTCAGTTTGCTTGCAGTAAAAAAGGAAAAATAATTCTGGTGAATAAACAGTGATATTGAATTACTAAAATATTCTGCAAGTACACTACAAACAAACTCAGCCTTAAATCTGTGTGCTGTGACTAATTTTAGGACTTGAATTTTAGCCAAAAAAAGAGCATGGAAAATCTTGACATGCACACCTCTGTCTCCAAAGAGACAAACTAGAAAGGGCAAAAAAAGGCAAACAGTAGCTTCTACAAGCTGGAGGTGGAAGATCGAGGGAAGGGGAAGGATTTAGCTGAAATGGCAAAAAGATATGGAAAAAAAATATTTTAATGTAAATTTTTAAAGGTGTGTTTTCATTGCAAAAATGGAGAGTTGGTATATAATCCATCTACATAAGTTTGTGTAAAAATATTCCCTAGAGGGGCAAGGAAACGAGAAGAGTACATTAACTAAAGTTAAGGGTTTAATTTTTGCCTTTTTAACAAAGGAAATGATAACGATCACTTAGAACATAAAAAATAATTTTAAGAAAGGCTGGATTATCTTTTTTAAGATGGAAGGGAAAAAAAAAGGCAAAAAAAAATGTTTCTTTTTATTTATAAGGAGTATTTCTGGAAAGCTAACCAGTCACCCCACCCCCAGTCCCTCACTCCAAACCAGTGCAGGCAAGGCCAGAGATGTCTTATTTCACTGAGCTGTGTTGCCGGGAGACTGGATTAGGCAAACACAAAGAAAAAAGCCAAAAGATTAAGAGAGATGACGAGCATTGCCATATTTCACAGTCAAATCAGGTGACACTTCAATCCAGGAGAGCTGTAAATCACTCAAAATGAATTTGAAAACTCCTGAGAGAAAACACTGTTTGCCTTAATTTACCCAGGATATGAAAATAAATAGTGCCTCCAAAGGTGTTAAAGCTGTAGCCCCAGAGATTTCTTTTTTCACTACTGTCTTCCCCAGAAGTCTTAATATAAGATACAAAAAATGCTTCTGGTGAAGAATGAGATACTGAGAGTCCCTAAAGGATTATAAAGGATACCCACACATCAAACATTGTCAGGAAAAAAAAAGAAAAAAAAAAGTAAAGAAAATACCAGAACCAAACATGCCATTTTTCTTTCCCCACACCCCAAGATCATAAAATCCTGGAACATCTCAAGTTGGAAGGGATCCATCCATAAGGATCACCAAGTTCCCCTCCCATTGCGGGACTACTTCAAACTAAATCTTATGACTAGGAACATTGTCCATATACTCCTTGAAGTCTGACAGGCTTGGTGCCACAACCACTTCCCTGGGAAGCCTGTTCCAGTGACCAACTACCCTCCCAGTGAAGAACTTCTCCCTAACTTCCAACCTGAACTTCCCCTGGCACAGCTTCAATCCATTCCCTCGTACCCTGTAGCTGGTCAGCACAGGAAGATCAGCACCTTCACCTACATTGCCCTCCTTGAGGAAGATGTAGACTGCCAAGAGGTCACCCCTCAGTGTTCTCTTTTTCAAGCCAAGTAACCTCAGTTGCTCTTCACAAATCTAGCCTTTGAGATTCACCATCTTGGTCATTCTCCTCATAGATGGACGTTCCTCTATTGAGGTGCCCAGAACCACACGCATTTCTTGAGGTAGGGCTACACCAGTGGTGTAGAGTAGGACAACTACCTCCATCCACCAGCTCACTATGCTGTACTTGACACACCCCAGGACATGGTTAGCCCTTCTGGCTGCAAGGGCACACTGTTGACTCATATTTAACTTGCCATCAACCCAACTCTCCAGATCTGTTTCCACAGGGCTGCTCTCCAGCCCCTCATCCCCCAGTTTGTATGTATAACCAGGGTTAATCCCTCCCAGGTGGAGAATCCAGCATTTAGGAAATCAACACTTTAACAGAGAATAATAGCTCTGCAGGTTAAGAAAAATTATGACATTGCAGGCTGCAGGAGAACTCAAGACCTGCAGATGGACAACTTTGCCCACAATCTTCCTCATAGCTAATTCTTGTTCACAAAATTTACTTTTCCAGAAGTTAAGAAGGACACAGCAGAGGAACTGTGTCAGATGTTATCACTTAGCTCCAACAAAGCAGTTCAACAATAAATGGCAAGGCCTGTGTGCAAAACACACATGTGAACTAACAGGAATTTATGAACACTTTTTGTTTCTTATACCAGTATCAGAATCAAGGTACAACTGTGAAGACAGCTCTTCTATGTGAATTGGAACTAAAAAGGGATATGACCAGCAATAAAAAAAATAAAAATACAAATACACTTCAACATGACAGAAAACCAGAAAGTGTAAGAAATTAAAACAATAACACAAATACATTTGGATCAATTCAGCATGCCCCCTCAAAAAGAAACTACGGCCTAAAATCAAGCTTTACTAATAAGTACTAATGAAGTACTAGTACTGAATCTTGCTGTATTTTTAATGCCTTATATAATTACCATCTTCTGAAGCAACTGTTATCTAAAATGCTAATTTCTGCTAAAAATTAAAATCACAGAAACAAATATATCGATAGCTGATGTTACATTATAGCATTTCTAAATAGAGGACATTTTGTTTCCAAAGAGAGGAAAAAAAGAAGCAATTCAGAGGATTCTTGTTTTTCTTAGCAGCAGCCTATCCACAGCTTTCAAGACCAGTATTAAAATGGATCCATACCGTGAAGCTGTTGTTGACATTTTTTGTGCTTGATTCAGCTACGCTGGCATCTGACAGGTCAACTTCATCAAATATTAGAGACTGTGAATGGAAAAGAACATAAAACCATTAAATATAGTCTGAGCCCACTTTCAGGTATGCTTACAGTCTGTGCTTTCATTTCCTTGTGTCCATTCCAATTGGAAAATAAAAATAGAAAGAAAAAAGTGGTGAAACAAATGTTGAAGTTGTTAGTGTCACTCTAAGCAATGAACTGAAATTTCTGGTAATTGAATTGTGCATTTAACGGACAGTACAAATACAGTCTTAGAAGAAAAATGCAGTTATATACTGGGGAAAATAGCATAAAAATATTGTCCTTCATTTCACAGATGCTTATCTCCTGCTTCTGAGTAAGAAACATGATAATCAAGAAAAGCAGATATGCCACCATCTTTTTAAGTTTCATCCTGGAAATAAGGCTGGAATATTCCATGAGGAAATCAATGTCCTTTTCCCACTTTTCTGTTTTTCTAAGAAATGCTCCGCCTAAGACCTTCAGTAACATGGTTTAATGGTGAACTTGGCAGTCCTGGGGTAACAGTTGGGCATAATGGTCTTAAAGGTCTTTTCCAACCTAAAACAGTTCTATGATTCTATACATAAGAAGAAAACATAGAAAACACTGATGATGTAGCACTATCTTAGCCATCCCAACAAGCTAAAATGCTCTCAGTCCCAGCCCTGAGGAGGAGGAAGGAAATGTCTTTCAGAAAGAAGTATTCCCCTCTGCCCACCCCCAATTTTCCCAGCAAAAATTCAGTTAATGGGAAACAGCTTTTTCCCTTGTATATCAGTTTTGGCAGAAAATCTTCCTATCTTGATTTCTCATAACCATTTTCACCTCTCCAATGGCAATATGGGCATTGGATTAGAAGAGTTTTAATGCAATCCAGTTTGAAGGGTGACTTCTGAGCATTACCCAATTTTTATGTTTGGGGTTTTTTTAACATTAGATTTGACTGCCTGAGAACCACCCCTCAAAAAAAAAACACAACTCCTTAAGACGAAATTACTATTTGTCTGAATATTCATAAAGGTTAAAATATTAAAGTAACTGATAAACTTCACTAAAAAATAAAAAAATCAAGAGAAATCTTCAGTCTTCTTTAGTTAGATACACTACATCTTATATACAGCAGTTTTTAAATAAAACAATCACTAAAAATCATTATTATTATTGCACTTATAAATCTAAACAAAATTGGAATTACAGGTGTATAGCATTAGACATTAATACTACAGAATTACCTTTGAATCCTTAGCATAGTAAAGGGTACGCCCTCGAAGTTTGAAGTAACGCTTTTTCCACCTCTGAAAAGAACTGGTTTGCTTCAGTAGTAATCCTTCTTTTATACTTGTCTGAAAAACATTAAAATACAGAAGACCAGGTAAATAAATATCTAAATAGCCACACATACAGAGGAAAGTTACACCTTTTAAAATTTATGTTACACCTCATATAACTGTGAATTTAATCTTGTCTCTATTCACATAAAATTGAGACTAATTCTCTGTCAATCAGACTTTGCATTGCTATTTTTCAAACAAACAATGAAAATATTGGCAAAATGCTAATTTTACATGTAAACTGAAAAGGCAGTCAAGAGGCATATAATTATTCTGAAGATGAACACAAAATCATTCCATTGTCTGGATAGCTGCAAACCCACAAATATTAAAATGAGCAATAGCTGATGGCGGCACAATTCTGAAAAAAAATGCTAAAATCCATCTACACAAGGTAATTTCCAGTTCTAAATTTGATTATGTTGATGAGAAAAACAATTTCCACATAAGCACTAATTCAACAAGGTACTTAAATGTGTGTCTGATTCAAGCACAAGAATTATGCTTTTAAAATAGAGGGAATGATCCACTATGATGCAAGCCATGCATGACTTCAAGTGCGTTGGTGAACTGAAGCCTGCAGCATGAAACCAGCTGCACATTAGGAATAATTATTATATGGAAAGTGTGAGAACAGTAACAGCTAGGGATATTTTTACCAGGCAAATATTTTTAGTCAAAAAAATGTTTCGTTGATCCAAACCTTTCCACTGCAGACTTAACCCTGCCTACATAAACCCCATTTTTTGAAATCAGTGTGACACAAATTAGTGTATTTTAAACATGCATGCTGCTTTTGCCAGTGTGTGTGGGATTCATCCAACCTATTACAGAAATTCTCCACTTAATCAGATGAAATGACATGACACAGCATACTAATTGCACGAGTCTTGAAATTAACTTCCTTCAGCTTTGAAGCACACAAAGGGTATAGGAAAAAGCAAGTATATTTGAATATTAGGAGGAGTAGGTGGCTGGTCTCTTCTCCCAAGTAACAGGACAAGAGGCGATGGCCTCAAGCTGCACCAGGAGAGGTTTAGAGTGGATATGAGAAAAAATTTCTTCACTGAGAGGGTGGTCAAGCGTTAGAACAGGCTGCCCAGGGAAGTGGTGGAGTCACTGTCCCTGGAAGGGTTCAAAAAACATGTAAAATCTTAGTGACATGGTTTAGTGGTGGACTTGGCAGTCCCAGGGTAATGGTTGGACTTGATGATCGTAAAGGTCTTTTCCAATCTAAGCGATTCTATGATTAAATTCCAAAATGGCCTCTAATATTCCCAGAGTATTTCCAATTTGTAGTGTAACAACACGATTTTTAGACTATGTGATATAAACATCAGTTGAAGTTATTCTAGAGCTTTTAGAGAATTAAGCAAGACCTGACCTAAAGTTCATGAACAACTTCTGTTATCAGATGTCAAATTCTCCTTAACTTTAACAGAAGTAATAAAAATACAGAAAAAGTAGAAAGTACTCTAATGTTCCTACCATTTCCTTGCAATGAGAAACATTGCTGTTATGTACATACATTGCAGCCTTCATTTAGACATTCCTGATGTCACAAACTAAGAATATGGTCCAACAATCACAAGGCAACTGAATTAATGCTCTCGAAAAAAGCAACCCCCTCAGATAAAACATAGCAGCTTCAAGTTTGAATTTATCTCATTTCAGACACTAACAACCTGGATCAACACACTGGGTCAGCCCCCTGGCTCTGGCTAAGGGGTAGAAGTTCCCAGCTTAAAGGGTCTGCTCAGCACACATCATTTTAAGACTGCTTGCAATTTTCTGACTAGACCCTAAGATAAGTTTGTTTTCTATGATATAAATAGATTTAATTAGTTACCGAATACAAACACTTATTCAAAGCTGTCTGTTTTATCTGTTCAGCACTTCTGTTTCATATCGCCCTCTGAGGTTTACAAAGCTCATCACACAGGATGGGAGCAGATGCCCCGTGTATTTATCAATGGCCAGAAAATGTAAGACCAGAGAAATTCAGTTGCAAAGGAACAGCACCCCAAATACACAGCAAGCCCTGACTTAATGGAAAAATTTCCAAACTGGAAGGAAATCCACATTCCCTAAAACACACTGTGCGTACTAGAAAACAAGAGCATATACATCGTACTGAATATTTTCAGGAATTTTTAAATCTGTTCAAAGAACATAAATCTCCCTAAACCTTGAGCTCTGACTCACTAAAGAATTAACTCTTTCATGTCATTTTTATGTCTGCATAAGCCATTTCCCCCTATTTCCACTCACCCCAATACCAGTCCTAAAATCAAACAAGGAATATCAAAATTAAATCTATTTTGAAAATCAGCCATTTAAAATTAACTCCCTAAAGCTGACAGTAAAAAGCTATGTAGGCTTTACAGAATGCAACGCTTACATTTTACCACCAACACTGGGCTGAGGGTTGAGCATCTTAAACAGACAATTCCATGGCTGCAGGCATCAAAACTGAGCATAAAGTATTGGCCCAATATCCTTTATTAACTTCATTTAGCCTTTAAAATGTGCAAAAAAACTTCCAGCTGCCAACTGAGTAATCTGGTAATAACGCTTTCCTGAATCTACACACAAGTCACAAGTCAGAGCACTCACAGTAATTTGAGATTGGAAGGGGCCTCTCAGGTTATTGAATTTGGGTCCACATTACTGCCTACCACCAGGTCATGTGAAGTTTTCCAAAAGCGTACTTTCAGGCTATAGGTACACCTTAAGAAAGACCTTTTCCTCTCCCAACAGCAATTAAGACAGTGCTCCAAGATCTAGCTGTTCTGAGAAACCTTCTTCTAATTAATCTCAGCTGGTCATTAAATCTGAAGCATAAGCAATAATCACTGCCAGTTATATTAACTATCTTCCTACTGTAATGTAGGAGAAACAAGAAGTGCACATCCCGTGATCCCATGTTACTTCTCATTCTCACATAACCACCTCTTACCTGCTTACTAAAGCCTCTGACTTCCCCATACAGCATCTTGTATCATGTAGCAACACAACATTCTTCCAGAAGTATGGGACTATAATAATGATAGGGTAGGGTAGACTAGGGTAGAGTAGAGTAGAGAAGAGCAGACTACAGTACAGTACAATATGGTACAGTACAGTAGAACAGAACAATTAAGATAGAATCCCTAACGATCTTTACTACATTAGCCATTAAAAATTGGGAAAATGATTCACAATATTACAGTCACAACATCACAGTGCTCCGCAGTGGTATGTTTTCCTGAAGAAATCTAATTATAAAAATCATCACCACATTCCATAAAATTAAGGTGTACATGTATGATCAATTATCCAAGAATGCTGACTGTAACTCGACATTGTCATAATGTAAATGACAAAAATAAATGGGATTTGTGGTTTTTTTTATCACTTAAAAATTAGAGGCATTCTATTTCATAGATTCTTCTATATCATCAGATTTTTAAATATTCAGTATACAGCAGTTGAAAATTAGAAGCTAACATTTTTCATTTCAAAGACCACCAACTCCAATGCCTTCACTCAGTTTGAAAAGTCTCACATTTGCACAAAATTCAATTTTTTAGTTACTTCTGCTGCTAGGAAGACTCAAATAAAGAAGAAAATATTCTGAACTTAGAAAACACTAAACTGACTATGGATGCACTACTGGCAACAGCAAGCTAAAACACTGAATGATTACAGATAGAACTCTCCTCCCTACTCCTTTTCAGATATATAAGTGGACATGCTGCTTAAAATGTATCAAGAAAGTGAAGAAAAGAACATCAGAAAATTTCTGAAAGTGAGGAGAATGAAAATTAGAACAGGAAAGGGCATAAAACAGGGAAGGTCAAACTTAAACAGGAAATTAAGAAGGTGAAGAAGAATTTAAGATCACCCTGCAACAGATGCTCATGCTGAGACTAAAATGGCCCTTAAATACTTTGAAAGATGAAAGACAGCTAGGGGGTTGGTAGGATCATTTTTCAACAGAGGTATGAAAAAGATATTCAAGGATGAGAAGGTCACAGTGAAGAAGCTCATCAAATTCTTGGCATCCATCTTTACCAATGAAGCCAATGATACAGTATCTCACACGTCATGTCAGAGTCATAGAATAGTTAGGGTTGGAAAAGACTTTAAGATCATCTAGTTCCAACCCCCCTGCCATGGGCAGGGACACCTCACACTAAACCATGCCACTCAAGGCTTTGTCCAACCAGGTCTTGAACACTGCCAGGAATGGAGCATTCACAACTTCCCTGGGCAACCCATTCCAGTGCCTCACCAACCTAACAGGAAAGAACTTCCTCCTTATATCCAACCTAAACTTCCCCTGTTTAAGTTTTAACCCGTTACCCCTTGTCCTATCACTACAGTCCCTAATGAAGAGTCCCTCCCCAGCATCCCTACAGGCCCCCTTCAGATACTGGAAGGCTGCTATGAGGTCTCCACACAGCCTGCTCTTCTCCAGGCTGAACAGCCCCAACTTTCACAGCCTGTCTTCATACAGGAGGTGCTCCAGTCCCCTGATCATCCTCATGGCCCTCCTCTGGACGTGTTCCAACAGTTTCATGTCCTTTTTATGTTGAGGACACCAGAACTGCACACAATACTCCAGGTGAGGTCTCACGAGAGCAGAGTAGAGGGGCAGGATCACCTCCTTCGACCTGCTGGTCACGCTCCTTTTGATGCAGCCCAGGATATGGTTGGCTTTCTGGGCTACGAGCGCACACTGAAGCCGGCTCATGTTCATTTTCTCATCAACCAAACCCCCAAGTCCTTCTCCACAGGGCTGCTCTGAATCTCTTTGATGTTCTTTGTAACATCTTCATCAACATGAAGCATTAGACCAGCCAAATCCCTAAGTCATGTGGACCAGACGGCAGTGACCTGAAAGCCTTGAAAGGACCACTTCCAATCCTGCTAAGACAGTAAAGTCCATAAGAAAGGATAATATTGCTGAGCCCATACACATCCAATGGGGAAAAGTCAACAGAGCTTTAGTAAAGCAAAATACTGCC